TTTTTTAGAAAACCACAAATCCCAGATTCAGAATGTCTTTAAATGAAGTGTAAATCATGGGTTCATTCATCATCCATGTGAATTTGTGAGCATACATACGTTCTGCTCAGATGGAAAAATGACGAGCTAAAAACCTAGACAATGTAAAGAACACGATGCTTTCGACTTTTCCTCCTTTCTACGTTCACTTTTTTTTTTTTTTTTTTTTGTGGCGTATTGTCCTGATGCCATTTCATCACAGATCCCAAGAGAACAGCCGCAGAGAGAGATGCTAGATGCAGGAAGATAACAACTGCACCATGAAATAAAATGAGAAATGAGAAAGGTGCAGCGAGAATGAAGAATGAAGACAAGAGGGGAGGAGAGGATGGAAAAGTTGACAGTGAAAAAGAAAATGATACAGCGGTACGCTCTTGTTAATGCCAATCCCCAGCCAATGAATATAAAAAAGTCAGTGGTCGTCTGTTTAGTCATCAGCCTGTCCCGTGTCCCTAATAAACAGGACATCAACACAAATTGGAAGGAAAGATGAACACAACACCTTGTTTACAACAAAAAGGTCATTTCAGTCAAACTCTACAGTCCATATAAGAAAGAAAAAAACAGCAATAATTCAAAGCTGGTTGGGCAGTTGTTGTTATACTATTTTCTTTTGGTGATATTTCTGTGCATCTTTTAAGGTCTGAAGGATGTCAGGGTAAAGATGTCGGCTGAGCACAGGGTTCATCTTTGGGCTCAACCACGTCAAGCAATACAAATTCATTTCATATTCATCAGAATGGTTGTTCTCTGCGGGGGGCTCATGGCGCTACCTATCCCACTCCCCTCTTTTCTGTTTGATTTGGCTCATTTGAGGAGCACGGTCCCCGGCAGCTTGTTAGAACTGCCACCTCTGTGACTCTGCCCCCTGGATGGATAGGGAGGGGGCGCCGAGGAGATGGCAGTGATGGAAGGGGTGCTCAGAGGGGTGTTGAGGGGGGTTTGGGATGATAGGTTGGGGAGGCCTACCCCAGAGTGCTTTTTTTTTTAAGTCACGGGTGAGCAAGCAAGACTCAGTGAATGGAGGACGGAGAAAATCTAAACGAAGTACACCATCTACTGGTTGGACTGTAGTACTGCTGTATTCAGTGAGGAGATATGACGAGATTGAAGAATGTGAGGTCGGTGGCACCGCCTTTGTGTTAAATCTACATTCAGTTCACATTTGACCGTTTCCTCTGACATATTCTAACACTAAGTATATAACTGAATAAATGTTGTTTCCTATTTAAATTGTAGCTGTACACCACTCTATTAGGCCGTTACAAAGGGATTTGACTGTAAAGTGACTAACAAGACGTACACGTGCAGTACAAACTGAAAAGTTAGCCGTTCTCTTTTTATCATTACTGACAAGGTGCAAGAATGATCCCTTCTAGGTCAAAGGGACAACCGACTAAACTGCCTCAATTACCCATAATGGCTCACACATGTAGCCACAGCCTCAATTTTGCTTCAATACATTTCAAATGCAACCCTTTTATTACACACGCACCACAGTGAGTTACACGTTACCTCTGTAGCTGATGAACACGGGCGACCTGGGACAAAATGAATTCATAAAAAGTGGAATCATTGTTCTTCAACCTTTCTATTTTCCAAGGTCGTGTTCATTTATCACAGCAGGGTGTGCAGTGGAGACTGGACAAAAGGCTTGAATGTATAATGGCAGGGAGGATAAACAGTTTAGGGTGCGTGGGTGCACAGAAGCAGGGCACAACAACATATTCAGCTTTAAGACGAGGCCAGATTAGATGTCCAGACGTGGCCTAACCTTCTGGTGATCTGCCAGAATTAAAAAGAAAGAAAGGAAGAAAGGAAAGCGTCTAAGGTAGAGGGAGGGTAAAAGCTCCAGAAAGATGAAGAGACAGACAGATGTTACAATCTGACAAAATACACACAGAGAGGCACAACGGAAATACATGATGAAAGCCTACTGAGAAAAACATTTTCATTTTCTTACATCTTAACATATACGAAATGTTGCTTGTGCCATTACTGAACCCCCAAACCCCCTCCCTCCCTCCCTCCCTTCCTTCCTTCCTTCCACCCTTCCTCCCTTCCTTCCACCCTTCCTTCCTTCCTTCCTTCCACCCT